TGTTTATGAGAGGATAAATCCATGTAACTCTGCTATAATCATCAACCAGAGTTAAGAAAAACCTATGACCAGAATGAGATGGAATGGAAAATGGTCCCCATAAGTCACAATGCACAAGATCAAATGATTCAGATGCTATAGAAGTACTAACAGTATATGGTAGTCTTTTCTGTCTGGCATAATGACAAGAGTCACAAGGCATAGTAGCAAATTCTTTACAGTTCATAGAAGAGCATTCAGGAATACATGAAAGTTTATGAAAGGATAAATGCCCTAGACTGAAATGCCACAATTCAGTAGGGGACAATACATGAGGTAAATCAGAAGTAACAGAGTTCTGAGAGCATTCTAATATAGAGTTTTGAGAGCATTATAATACAAGAGAATTAGCAGCCAAAACATGATGGCAATTTGTAAAAGTAAAATGATAAAGGCCATTCTTAGCTTCAGCAAAACCAATCATTTTGTTGGTTTGCAGCTCCTGCAATGTGCAGTAAGAGGAAGCAAATTACACAATACAATTGTTAGAGGCAGTTAGTTTTGATACATAAATTAAGTTAAAGGTAAAGTTAGGAACATAGAGCACATCTGTCAGCACAAGATTAGGTCCCAGATATATCTGTCCCACATGGCTGTCAAATGTGGTTTGTCCATTAGGAAGATTGATTTTTATAGAAGTAGGAATGGGAGGTTTTGAAAAAAATGGTAGATCACAAACCATGTGATCAGTGGCACCTGTATCAAGTATCCAAGTGTTTTTAGTAAAAGATGAGATGTACTGACAATTTAATGAAAATGTACCTGTCTGTTCTATGTGAACAGTGGCAACTGTAGGGTTGGACTCAGCCTGAGCCTTTCCCTTGTTAGTATCACATGCATTTTTGAATTCTAGAAACTCAGCAAACAGTTTGTCAGTCATAGAAGGATTAGTGGTAACAAGAGAATTAGGGTTGTTTGTGATGACAAAGTTAACAGAAGGTTTGGTGTTGGATTTTTGAAGGTCTGGATGAATTCTGGGGCCTTTTGGACCAATCCAATTGGATGGATAGCCAATAACTTGGTAACATTTCTCAGATGGATGATTGTAGCCACAATGACTGCATTTAAATCTTTTCTTATCCTTAGGATCAGCAGGTTTAAAGTATTTCGAAGATTTGGCAAGCATGACAGCAGGTTCAAAGGATTTAGGGATAGGTTGTTGTAAGGATCTCTGACTCTCTTCTTGTAAAAGTAATGAGTAAACCTTTGAAAGAGATGGAAAAGGCGATGAAAGAAGAAAATGACTTCTCAATTGAGCATAGGAATCATTTAGACCAACAAGGAATTTCATAACAGCATCATTTTGTTGAGCAAGAGTCATTGAATCAAAGATATCACAAGTACAGCGAGTCATGGCACCACAAACACATCGAAAAACAGGTCTGTATGTGATGTATTCATCCCAAATGGATTTAAAAGCAGTGTAATATTGAGTTATGGACTGAGAACCCTGATCCATGTTACTTAATGATTTTTCAAGTTGAAAAACCCTAGGACCACTACTAAGGGCATAGCGAGATTTCAGTTCATCCCAAACTTGCTGAGCATTAGTGAAAAATAACAAAGATGAACGAATATCTTTAGAAACAGAGTTCAAAATCCAAGAAAGTACCAAGTTATTTGCACGAATCCAAGCAATATGATCAGTAGGGTGAGTAGTAGGGTTAGGGGTTACCAGAGTACCATCAATGAAAGCAACTTTGTTTTTCACGCTTAAGGCCATGGTGACAGCCCTGCACCAGGCCACATAATTGTCTCCGGTGAACATGTCGGCAACGATAACGGCACCGGGATTGTCCCTAGCATGTAGGAAGTATGGCGACACTGGATCGTTTGTTGGATGAGCCATCGCAGTGTCCCAAGCAAGATCATATCAGATTTTACAGGGAAAAAGAGGCGATTCAAGGAAATCGAAACTAATCGGAGCATATCCGTAAGGAAAGCAACATATCGACACAGATTAGAGACAGATAATCTCGAATCGGAAAAAAATGAACAACGGCGAAGAAATCAAACAAAAAACGAAGAAATCATATACGAGCAGCGGAAATTTAGATGGATCGAGAATAGATCCCGAAAACTGATACCATAATAGAATAGAAAAGTGGTAAAAACAACATCAAATCTTTATTATGAAATGAAGAACGATTTACAGAGACAAAAGAAAGGAAAGCTTCAGCGTTTTAGAGAGAGAGTAGAGAGAAAAGTGAGAAGACGAAAAAGTGAAGAAAAAACCCTAGCTAGGCCTATATATACAAGGACAAACAGAAAAGGGTTGTTTATAAAATAAGTACAAGCCCAAATACTAAAGTCCAAAATACAAAATACATAAGCCCAATAAGTCTAAAGTACAAATAAAGTTCTGATCCAAATAAGAAATATATTCTAATATCCATATATCCCGAATCTTTTGGATCCTAAGAATCATTAAGTGTCACACGTTTACCGCAATCAACCCCAGGCCACCCTTCAGAGTTATGCCTCCAGTCGTATGTATAACAGCTCATCCAAGTCCAACTGGTGATTAGGTCACCAGGTCATCCAAGTCATAGGACAATAACTCGACTTACTGGAAACTACCTCGACCTACCTCCTCTAAGTCGAGCTAAGGGGGAGCAGTCTCAAATCGAGCTATATAATAGCCCCAATTCAGGACCGAACTCTTCTATGCTATATCATTGTGTGATGAGTGCTGCAAAACCCAGAGTTAGGCAGTGTTTTAAGGGGCTGCTATGATGATGACTGTTGTTCGGTTCCAAGCACTATTCACTATTTTCCCTGCTTTAAACATACACCAAACGCCCCACCACAACTTGCTCAAGAAAAATTATTAGACAAAATTCCAAATACAACCCGAAAAAGAAAACTGTAGCATTAAACTCAAACCAATTCATGGCACTGTTTTAAAATTTCCATACAAAACCTAAATGAGTGCAGTTTGCAAAAATACAGACTCGAACCCAACGTAGAGCCAAATTACTAAAAAAATACCTGAGGCTTAGGGTACGTGTGTAACTAAAAAAATTACTGAATCTTCCCAAATTCCACGTGCAGTCCCACTTAACAAAGTACACTTCTAAAAGGGAGTGAAAATAAATTCTTCTACGAATACCTTGTAAATTAGTCTAAATTAATCGATCATGTAAGTTACTGGAGCCGGAGTTACCTTGCATACCTCGACACTAAACCCGTAGTCCATTAGAACCAAGAGCCATGCACGTTGCTGTTCAGAAAGCCTGTCCCTCTTCACCTCCCAATTCGCAATATAACATTCATTAATGACTCATATAGACTTTAATGCTCAAACAAGCATCTTCCATCCAAGTAGGTTCAATGAACATGCATCCCTTGGTTTTAGCCAAAGGAATTAACATATTTGATGGCACAAATCATTTCATCTAGTCTCTAGATATGTTTTCATTTAAATAGTTTTTCAGTAACCGTGACCAATAATTTCAACGAGTCTCTTAACTTTTACTTGTTATTGAGTCTTCTAATTGACCGCAAGTCACATTATTCAATATTACCATTATTTATAATTATCACTAACAAAGCTCAAATGTTGGTCAATTAGAAATTCAATATGGCAAAAAATGTGTAAATGATAAATAGTTTATAACTTGTTATAAAACTAGCTTCTCTTAGTCAACAGATCAATATATCCATGAACATACCCCCAACATCACAATTATCAGGAAACAGAACTGGGGCAACAGTTTGAAGAAGTACAACAAACTTTAATAATACTATGATCAATAAGCCATGTTCTCATGCCGGAATTTCACGGTTCAAAAGTCATGCTCTCAGCCTCCTTTCTTACAGAATCGAAGAGCATAAAACAGAGGTATCGTTCACCAAAGCTCGAGAAAATGCCCTGCAACCGATATTCATGAAAACATGAGATGGTCAATGGGAGAGATTATTTCTAGAAATTATTCCAAATCAACCCAACAAGCCAGAAAACCTCTAAAACAGGTAAGTCGAATCTGACTAAAGAGAGAAGTAAAAAGAAAAAATATCACAATCAATTTTGATAAGAAAAGAGTAGACTTACAACAATGAGTTTTCCAGCATTTTCAGGTCGCTTAGCAACATTAATTGCAGCAGCAGCTGCTGCTGCTGCACCAGATGATATTCCGGCGTGCAACATAATATTTACGGACTCAATACACGACTCGGATTAAGATGCATATTTCGGAAATACTGAAAATGTTTAAACTAACAAGACTAGACAAGTATTGTTATAACTTACTAATGGGTCGAAACCCACAGTTGACACTAGGGGGTAGAATTACCCTTTCCATTTCCAGGCACTTTTTTAACAGTGACATCATTAAGGTGAAGCCTATATAATATTCTTGGCTTGAACAATGAAAATGTAGAGACAGACATTTCCCGCAAAGAAATGAAAAAAAAAAAAAAAATTCCTATAGAAGAGTGACAATTCTCCATTGGCAAAAACAGTCGCAGCAAAAAAAAAATGTCGAAGACACATAAAAAAATGAGTTATACTTATATCGGAAGATAAAAGGCAATATTACCAAAGAACCCTCAGCCGTGGACTGTTAGCATGACGAGACAATACTTCGATCATGTCAAAAACCTATGTCTTCATCGTGTGATTCCATATATTCGCGGAAGACAATCTCACACATCTCAGATCCTCGATCAAATGATGAAATTCTCCCGACTGATTCTGCTAAGCACTGTATTTCCATCCTCTCCAGGACTTTAGCATTCTTTAAGAGATATCTAACCATGTCGAGTTCATGCTCTGTACTGTCCAATGCCAGAATTTGTACTATTTTAAGATGCGACAACAGGCAATTAGGCACTTGGAGGGGAGCCGCCAACCAGCGCTTTCGATTATTATAAACCTGACAATGAAACAGAAAGGTAAACATGGAAATGTGAACAAGTATAAAATTCTGACAGGAGATGAATAAAAAGGAAAAGCTTACCCTAGGGATAATAAGGACTTTAAGTTTATGAGCCTTCTCTAGGAAATATGTGAGAAACCACCAATTGACGTTCAGTTTGAGTTTTGTTAAATTGTGAAGCTTCGTGATTGAATTAGCCAGCAGGCATTTAGGAGGCAACAACTGGAGGGGTTCCATCTTGGATTCAGGTTGTGGATATTGTATGACCTGATGATGAAACAAAAAGAAAACAAATGCAGAACAAGGCCAGGCCATCAATCACATATAACCATACAAGTTGAAAATACGGACAAAACAATCAGACTAACATTAAGGACTTGAAGCATGTTAGCCTTCTCCACGAAATATGAGATGAAACGCCAGTCACCTTTCACCTTGAGTTTGGCTAAATTGTGAAACTTTATGTTCAAATAGACAGGGGTCAAGTCAAGAACCTGCAAGAAAATGAAAAAAGATTA